ATTCTCATAACCATTTTTTCGCAAATAATGAGTCATTATAACAAAATAACTTTTTTATATCTAATGACATGAAGCGTGCCGTTACAAATTACAATACTATTACTGCTGAATAACTTCTACTATAAAATCAATGTTAATATTCTTAGAGTGAAGTCAGTAAACTACTGCGAAATAAAATTTTGGCATAAGAATGCTTTAATCAGCCAGTACACTCAAAAGGAAGCAATGGTCTCCTTCACGGTTATACCTTTGCCATCTTCGAAGGTAGACGTGCCTTTGCATCGAAGCGAGACGACAGTTGAGCGTGCAATGATAGATATCTGTGAATAATTGTCTGTAGGTGTGAAAAAAGGTTTCTATCATTGCAATCTCAACGGTCGTCTCGCTTCGATGCAAAGGCACGGCTACCTTTCAAGATGGTGTAGGTAACCGTGAAGGAGACTATTCAATAGGCAACGTGCCCCGACGCCATTTTCTACAAAGCATGATGGGATATGCAGTGCTCACACTTTTATGTTTACCTTGAATTATGTCCAAACCGTGTTTTTATTTTACTTGTAAAATTGAAAGAGATTCTGCCGTTTTTTTTTTTTGTATGGAAAAATCAATACTTTTATGGGCATAAAAAAATCTGCATTTCCCAGCATGCTTTATTGTACAAAATTTCATTCACCATTACTCCAGTCTCGAGATCTTATTTGTGCAGCCTTTACCTCGAAAGCATATAGAGTGATCGCACTTAATCCGTGCAACTGTACAAACTAAATAGTGATATTTAGTTGCATTTAGTAAATCGTGCATGTGGTATGCAAATTAAATTGAATTGATACAAATGAAGCATTCAATACCGTTTTGCTTCAGGTCCACTTTTATAGTACAAGTTAGTACTACTTAGATTTTGTACAGTTGCACGGATTAAGTGCGTTCACTCTAATACAAACACTGTGTACAAAGAAGACAATAAAAATTTATGCTTGATTGAAGCTACTCTTGCACAAAAGAGAATTCGAAACTGGAGTATTGGAGTAAATTATCTCATTCAAGTGGAGTTTTCTTTGACTTCACTCCATTAAATAACTAATGGGATGTCACATGGCTAAGTAATTCTTGTAAGCTGATGGCCATTGCACTTGATTTGCAGATGTCAAGGTCACTAGTTTCACACAATGCAGGGATGCCAACTCTCCCGGATAATCCGGGAGTCTCAAGATTTTCGACCGTTTCTCCCGGTCTCAAGATTTTACCGCTAAATCTCCCGGATAATGACGACTCATATATCAGTATTTTAATTTCATCTATTAGAACTTAAATTACCTTGCATATCTGTGTCATTTTAGTTCTGAAAAAAATACAAAAATCCCAGTCTTCTGATAACAATAACACTGCACGCCATCCGCGGCCATTTTCATTGCACAATACAATCTATAATATGATTGGTTAAGACACATCCAATCAAATCACTAGTTATAACAAAATTTGATAAATGCGATGACGTCATCGATAATGTTATGAAACGTCATTTCCGGTATGACGTCATCATTTTCGTATCTCAAGATTTGAAAAGCTCGGGGGTTGGCATCCCTGCAATGGTCGTATCCCCTTCTAGTCTTCACCAGGCTGCTCAGTTGTTATCTGGAAAACATGGGACGAGAAAGAAACATCCAATTGTAAATATTGATATCCTCATCATAGAGTGTGTTTGAAAGATATAATGTACTCCAGTAATGTAAATTTATTGTAAAACTAGAATTCTTGACCTTTTCCTCTTTTTGACGACTATAAATTTAAGATAATAATAAAATATGATAGAGAGAGAGAGAGAGCTTTATGGGCATGCAAGCAGTTTAATGCATAAAAATGATTTTACGACTGTACATAATATTTAAAATATGAGCAGGAGACCTTTAGGGCATATATTTTAAAACCTGCAAGCTGCAATGCTTATCAAATTCCAGCATATGGATCATAAGCTTCAAAGATGAAATATCGTTTTTATATTTTTTCATATCTTGTAGAAAAACATCGAACTTTCCCATGTAACATTTTGTCCCATTCAATTTGCATAATTGCCTAGAATACGGTGACATCTAGTACACTGTGAATGCTTCTAGGAAAACAAATAAAATGTATCAAGAACATACTTAGATACACATCCAGAAATTTGGACTGTTAAAGATTATGTATGTCTGTCTGTCTGTCTGTCTATCTGTCTGAATTATGCACCTATTTGTTTCCTAAATTTTATGAAAACAATTGACTGACTGAGGTACAACATGTTTGATTAATTTTATTAAAAGATATAGATTATGACGTGATATTCGATGATAAAAATATGCCAGTAACTTAGGACTTTCTAAAACGACTAGTATCTTTTTACGCAACTGTTTCTTTAGAAACACCGACGCAGCTCACACTAGTTTACCGCTAGTTCCCACCAGGGTACCAGTCCCCTTGTTATTCTCATTGGATTTACTGCTCATGCGTACAATTGGTAAAAATATACACATCAAATTATGCCACCAGTAGATTAAGTAAATGGCAAAAGCATACTTTTATCATACGTAAATTAATATAATTACCGTAAAGAAATGATAAACAGCACAAATTGAAGTCAAGACATATTTCATTGAGTAATTTTTTTGAAATTCATCACTGAACAAGACCACTTACATCATAAGGTCACCAAGTCTCGTATAAAATATCAAAACATGTTGAGACAGGAATGAAGACTGATTCATAGTGAAAGTATAAGATTTCGGGTCATTTTCACTGCGTCAGTCTTCCTGTTTGCTTCGATGCTGTTCTATGTACTAAAATATGGCAGATAAAATCAGTCATTCCTGCTTGGTGTCCAAGATTGCCATCACTCTATCGGTCGTCRGTTTGTTGTTRTGCTGYGGTGTGTTTTTAAGAACAGAATTGATGCTAAACGAGCTGTATTCAAGAGACATTAAGCTGCCAGACAAGATGACTTCAAAACACGACATGAACAAAGGCGTAAATCGATTCGACAAAGATCATCATTCAACATTTGGGAAACAAAAAACAAAGCAAACCAAAGACGTTTTCACAAGAAAAGTAAGAGATGTTACAACTGTAGTCAACAGCACCATTACTGATGATTTATTATCAAAGAAAATTCATCAAGTTGTGGGAAAAGCAGTWGCCAATTTACAATCTGCCAAATACTGGATTCCCATTCCAGGACCTGCCGGTCCACAAGGAAAACCCGGTCCAAGAGGACCGAGAGGACGCATGGGTAAACCTGGACGTCGAGGAAAACAAGGACCACGTGGTTTGCCTGGAAAGATCGGACTTCCTGGTCCCAGAGGAATGCCTGGACCAAAGGGACCAAAGGGACCAAAGGGAGATCGTGGTCCTTCCTTAGCACGTCCAACAGTACTCATTTCACCAACACATCTCATCGTCAATGAAAGCCAGTCCGCCATCTTACATTGTTCCTCTAATGGTTACCCTCGACCTGATGTTGTATGGAGTAAAAACAACGGTACATTACCACACAAACGAGCAGTAGTTGATAGCACTGGCAAACTTGATATCAAACACGTGACACTCAATGACTCAGGAATCTATCAGTGYAAGGCTTCTAATCTTCTTGGCAGCACACAAACAACTGCGAAACTTACAGTGAACTTTCTTCCACGACTGACCTTGAACAAAGGACCAATCTACAGAAAGATTGGTGATGACATTCGTCTACCTGCTTGTCACGTGACTGGATACCCAAAACCCAACGTCACGTGGTCAAAAGCTTTTGAATCTTTGTCAATAAGTCGATCTATTATCAAGGGTGAAAATCTGACTATACTGAAAGCCAAGAAAGACGATTCAGGGATATATGTTTGTAAAGCTGAAAATCTTCTTGGTTCTGTTTTAGGATCTGTTATGGTAAATGTTATCGATCTGCCTGTATTTGTTGTCAAGCCTCCCACATCGTATACAGTACTTTTAGGGAAAAACGTATTGTTGAACTGCACCGCTAAAGGTGATCCTCAGCCTGTCATCAGTTGGAGAAAAGACAACGRMGTTCTTCCTGWTGRBAGRTATRAAGTGAGAGATGGCTCTTTGATTATAAGGAACGTCAAGAAAGCAGATTCGGGTGTGTTTGTGTGCATTGCTACGAGTGCTGGTGTTTCTCATTCACATGCACGTACGATATTGACTGTGCATTTTAAAGATTGTGCTGAGCTTTATAAATCAGGAGAGAGAAGTAACGGTGTGTACACAGTTCAACCCGACAAGCAGCCTGCATTTCAAGTCTACTGTGACATGACAACTGACGGTGGGGGTTGGACTGTGTTCCAAAGAAGACAAGATGGATCGGTTGATTTCTATCGCAATTGGCAGCAATACAAAACAGGTTTTGGAAACCTGAATGGTGAGTTTTGGTTGGGTAACGATTACATTCATCGACTGACAGCAAGAACAGCGTCGAGTCTGCGCGTTGAGGTAGAGGACTGGGACGGAACTAGGAAGTATGCCAAATATGGTAGTTTTAGTGTTGGTGATGAATCAGACAAGTACAGGCTGAGGGTTGGCTCGTATTCCGGTACTGCTGGGGACTCGTTATCATATCATAACAACATGGCGTTTAGTACAAAAGATAGAGATAACGAGAGCGACGGCCGGAACTGTGCTGCAACTTATACCGGTGGCTGGTGGTTTAATGCCTGTCATCATTCTAATCTGAATGGAAAGTACCTTGGAAACGCGATGTCGTTAAAAGGAATTAATTGGTGGAATTTTTATAACAATAAACAAAGTTTTAAGAAATCTGAAATGAAAATGCGTGCTAGTGGATTCTAATGCATGAGTAGCACAGTAAGATAACGCTGGAGTTATTGCTCTTTGTTATTTGTACAGACATTTATCAACGATTTGTCATCACGTTTGTTGCAAGTGCTATAGCCTGAACAGGTGCCTAGTGGTATGATAGTTGATTCTAATTTTATTGAAAGTATACCTTAATTGGCAAAAATTTCAAAGAAATACCGATCAAATTTTGAAGAAATCTGAAATGAAAATACGTAGTAGTGCTTTGTAATGCATGAACAGTACAATGTTTTTTCATAATAATTATTTTTTTCCATGTTTATTATTAATTGATTAGCACCACTGCATAATTCTTACAAATTATTTACAATCTAATAAGACATAAATATATTTCTTTTAATAACAGGTTACATTAGATTTCTGAGCTTCTTACGTCACAGCTTGCGTTTCAATGCATTCTGGGATCAGTTTCAAGTGAAAACAAAAGAAATCCGCCATGTTCTGTCCCAAACATATCCTAGAATGCATTGCGTATACGGTACATGACGTAAAAGCTTTAGGGGTCATTAACAATTGTTAATTTTAAATTTATTTATAACTCTTTTGTTGTTTTGCTCTTTTATAGATTAAATCAACATGTTGTTTATTTTTCTTGGTTGCATTTGATTTATTCGGTAGTTTTATAAAATGATAGACAAATTGCATTTATTGGAAAAGTTAACGAGACCAGACTTGTAAGTCAATATTAAATCCTTTTTTCCTTTATTTTGTTTTGCTATGATCGACGCTTGAAAGGGATGATGGGAAAGTATGAAAGCTTTTTCTTTCCCTTTATGCATTGCGCGCCGGTTAAAAGTGAGAGACTGGGTACGATTCCGTAACCAAGAATTATTACATAAGAATGTCTATGTGAAAGTGTGTGTAAAATACGTCTGTAATGGCACTTTTGATTGGTGAATATAGTCATAGAGGTGAAAAATGCCTGGATATTTCATCGGAATAAAGAACGATAAAACAAGGGAATGTCCAGATCTTTTGTAACACGATATGCACCTCCTTCACGGAGGAAGAAAATCCTGGATACCTTCCACCTGCATTACACTTACTAAGTAATCACAGATACATATCCCCATGACATGGAATCAAGATTCCATGATTCCGGCGTCCAAAATTCCATGAAGAATTTCGCAAGGCATCCTAGCCTAGCTTTTTTTGTATTCACTGACTCGTTTACAACTATGAAACTTTAAAAAAAAAATTACTAGTTTGGATTCTAGATTCTTTTTATTTGATTGGATTCTGTTTTCACTGCTGAAGATTCTAGATTCAAAGTGTCTCGATTCCAGATTCCTGACCCAACATTTTGTCGGATAGTAGGGGTGGCGAATGGTAAAATCCGAGATCTGAGATCGCCTTTTAAAAATCCGAGATCGAGATGTTAAAAATTTCCAAATTCCAAGAAGCGAGATTAATGTTTTTATGTTCTTGTTTATCGAGTTAACACGGAAAAAACATTTATTACATGGGCTTCCAAAGGAAGACCATGTCTTAAATTACCGACGTTTTTCGTCTGTGGTATGCTTCAAATTATATCCGGGACCTTTTCATTTTTGACATCTATTGTCTTACTGTCATTCATGTTTCTAAGCAACGATTCAAAGGTCGCTTCATGCTTCTTCGGACCTTCTAAAGCCGGCAAAGTCTTAAGATCGAACATGTCGAAATTATCTAGCTTCTACAGGCTAGATTCTTTTACAAATCCACACACCATTCGCGGCATAGCCACACTAAAAAAATTCGAGCATTTCTCAAAAGGGCATTTGGAGAGATACGGCGAATTTATATCGTGAATCTACCGATCGTGAATTATCTACTATCAACATTAACTCATCAAAAGCTAACTTATACTAGTACAGGCTCTACAATCACCAAGGACTTATCTAAGACATGTCAACAGATTTATACTGAGGAAAAACAGAGGATAGGAAGTATTTTATGCGAAGAACATGAAAGACTATCGATCTGTGTTTAATACAGCCAAGTATGCGACTCTTAAACTATAAACGGCTCGTCAAACTTAAATTACTTCTTTCACAATATTATTAAATTCTACTATTTTTAAGTACATTGCTTGTTTGATTATATTTCATTAAAGGAAAACCTTTTTGGCTGTTGTCTTTAATAGTAATATTGTGATATACCACAGGAAGCCCATGTAAACGATCGCTGATCGTCTAGTTTAGAACAATTATGCATTCAAAAATTCTTCATAAATCAACGCTCTCGAGAGCATGCCGGCAAATTAAAATCCGAGATCTTGTTGTAGAAATTCCGAGATCCGAGGCCCAAAAAATTTGCCGGAAACACGAGATTCCGAGATCCTTTTTTTGGCAGTCCGAGATCTCGAGATTCTACCAAAAATTGCCGAGATCCAGTTATTTCTAGGTACCATTCGCCACCCCTGATAGTGGATTACGGATTCTATGTCATTGAGTGATACAAAAGTGAAAAACAGATTATTTCAACGTTAAAATATTGAACAGATCAATTTTGCGCAGATTTCTAGCAAGTCTATCGGACCACTTTCGTAAGTACCCCCCATTGATTTTATATGATTGTCAATATTATGGAAATATTCAGCATTGTCATAGGGAAGAACTATAAGAACTAGGAACTTCTGGAAAGTTTTCAAACTATGGAATAAATACTACTGGAGTTATTGCGGGATAAAATTACAAAGATTTGTTTGAAATTCTTTTTTCAGAAATTGGTGGTCCTGTTTGTTGCTTTTAGATTTGATTTTCGAACACGATCAAATACAATCTGCGTAATAACACATTATTGCAACATGCCTGTCGTAGTGCTAGTAAACAATTATTTTGAATCTCTACGACATATTGTATTAGACTCGTGTTGACATTCTTTTATTCATTTGTCACGTAACTGGATACCGAAAAACCAAATCAAGTGTCACGTGGTCCAACGCTTTTGGTTCTTGTTGAACAGTCATTTTGCTATAAAAGATGGACAACTGCCTACATTAAAAGCGAACAAAGATGATTCGCAGATTAATGTTTGCAAAAATGAAATCTTCTTGGTCCTACTGTAGGATCTATTGTGGTAAATGTGCCTGTGTTTGTTGTTAAGAAATCATTTTCCTATAAAACTCATGCAGGATCAACTGTAGTGTTAAACTATACCGCTAAAAGTGACCCTCAGCTTATCATCGGTTGGCGTAATAACGTGGACTTCCTGTAGAAGAACACGTCTGAAAATATCACTGGACGTTTCTCCTTCGTCGTCGCCGTCGTGAATATTACGCTTCAAAAGGTAGCGCCTGCAGTTGCAGATGGTCTGCAGTCTCAGTTTCCATGGGGAAACTGAAACTCGAACTAAACCAGTCCGCGGGAAGGAAGCCCACGTAAGTGATCAATGATCGTCTAGTTTTTCTAATGATGACCTAAAAACCAACGTACTTTTATATAATTTTTTTTTTAAACAGAAGCCTTTATAAATATAACAAAATTTAATAACGATTCTAACAATAGCCAAGTAATGCGCAAATGTTTTTTGAAAGCGAAAGAATTAGCCATCCAGAAGTTCTTGTTATGCAACTAAATTGATGAAAAAACGTCGCACAAAGAACCTGACAGGATACGTAAAATGTATTGCGAGAAACGTTATCCGGTGCACTGGACTATTGAATCGACACGACACGACTACATAGAAGATTGATAACATAAGGTCAACAAGTCTCGTATAAAATATCACAACATGTTGAGACAGGAATGAAGACCGATTAACAGTAAAAGTTTAAGATTTCGGGTCATTTTGACTGCGTCAGTCTTCCTGTATGCGTTGGAAATCTTGTTTTACTAAAATATGGCAGACAAAGTCATTCATTCCTGCTTGGTGTCCAAGATTGCCATGACTCTATCGGTCGTCAGTTTGTTGTTGTGCTGTGGTGTGTTTTTAAGAACAGAATTGATGCTAAACGAGCTGTATTCAAGAGACATCAAGATGCCAGACAAGATGACTTCAAAACATGACATGAACAATGGACATCGATTCGACAAAGATCATCTTTCAGAGCGAACACTTGAGAAACAAAACGCAAAGCAAACGAAAGAAGTTTTCACAAGAAAAGTAAGAGATGTTACAACTGTAGTCAACAGCACCATTAATGATGATTTATTATCAAAAAAAATCCATCAAGTTGTGGGAAAAGCAGTTGCCAGTTTACAATCTGCCAAATACTGGATTCCCATTCCAGGACCTCCCGGTCCACAAGGAAAACCTGGTCCAAGAGGACCCAGAGGACGCATGGGTAAAACTGGACGTCGAGGAATTCCCATTCCAGGACCTCCCGGTCCACAAGGAAAACCTGGYCCAAGAGGACYSAGAGGACGCATGGGTAAAACTGGACGTCGAGGAAAACGAGGCTCACGCGGTTTTCAAGGAATGATCGGACTTCCTGGTCCCAGAGGAATGCCTGGACCTATGGGACCAAAAGGAAAACCTGGTCAACGCGGATCGAGAGGACGCATGGGTAAAATTGGACGTCGAGGAAAACGAGGACTACGTGGTTTTCCAGGAAAGATAGGACTTCCTGGTCCCAGAGGAATGCCTGGACCAAAGGGAAATCCTGGTACATCATTAGCACGTCCAACAGTACTCATTTCGCCAGCACATCTCATCGTCAATGAAAGCCAGCCCGCCATCTTACATTGTTCCTCTAGTGGTTATCCGCGACCTGATGTTGTATGGAGTAAAAACAACGGAACATTACCACACAAACGAGCAGTACTTGATAGCGCTGGTAAACTTCATATCAAACACGTGACTCCCAATGACTCAGGAATCTATCCTGGGTGATTTGAGAAAATGCGACTAGCCAATCAGCGCAAAGCTGACAAGCTTATGTTGTAAACATAGCCCCCCGACGGGAGGAATTTGCACAGCAAAACTCGATCCAGTGGAGTAGGCTGCCTGCCGTTTTATTCTATCCGAAATATCATAGCTAAAACGCAAAGAGAAATTGCAAATCTTTATAAAATAGCTTTTATTAAATGTCAATCAAATATTTATCGTTGTAGAATTAAATAGAATTTTATCTTAAAAATGAAATAACAAATAATTTTTTCTTTAATACCAAGACTCTCCCCTCCCTGATAAAAATAATTGGTCTGTGTTCTACGCGGGTTCTCCATTGCATGCGAAGCAATGGCCGACTTCACGAAGACTTCAGAAGGTCGTTGAAGCGACGTTCAAGTCCAAAGTATCTTAGGAGGAAACATGGCAAATCCTTTTTCTTAGCTTTTGTTTCCTCTAAGCTTTGAGGTATCCGACAACATCACTGAAAGAGCTAGAGCAGCTTAGCTCCACGTATTCCAATAGAGTTAAAGTGTTTGTTATTTTTGGTAGTGACAACTGTCGTAGTTCATCCTTTGCCGCAAGCGTGCTCGACGATACAACAGGTTGACGTTATGTAACAGGTCGGTTACATATTTACTAGCTTTGACATTACAACGAGAGCTAGAACGGTGACTAGGGTTTTTCGTGTAATGTCTTGATAGCGACTGTTTATGTTGAAACGACTCAAAACAAAATTCCATCGTGAAAAAAGTTCGACTAAATTCCCATCTGAA